CATCCAGTAACTTATATCACCGGTGTCTGTTTGAGCATTGCCATTTCTGATATTTTATTTCGCGATGTAATAAATTCACTGAAGGCTTTCACATCTTCCTTGAAATGTAACCGGTTGGAGGAATCTTTCCAATTGCAGCATCAATTAAACCCGATTGTTTGATTCCCAATACAACGTTTGGAGTATTGAATGTGTGGCTACACTTACTAAAGGAATTCCTTCTGGTCTGTAACTGATCTGGTCCGGGTTGTGAGGATTCGCTATTTTCGCCACCATCCTCTCCCTCTCACAACTATTGATCGCCCGTTGTAACTGAGCGTTTCCAAGAGCTTTGAGCAAATGTCGCACTTTCCGTCGAGGGGGAAAGAAAGTTACATTTTTAAGTGATAAATGTGCAGTCGCTTCATCAATGTATGAAATGCAGACAGAACAACCCGCATAACCCCAATTTAGGATTGTACCTGCTATAACCTCGGCCTTACCCGTGTTTGACATAAGATGCTGTTCGATATTTCGAGTGTAAAACTCTCTCGTTTTCAGTTAAAGCGCAAATCCCGAAACTGTGTTGAGAATTTACACTTTTTTTTAAAAAAGAAAATTCTTGGCAGAATGTGAAAGGTTATTGATACGATATATATTTTCTGATGTGACTGTGTTCACATGATTTATCCCCCCCCCCCCCCCCCAGTGCCTACGAAGTCGGAAAAAAAAAGTTAGGGCAAAAGGTTGATTCAAACCATGTTCATATCAGAAAAATGCCCCGAGAGTCTTTTAAAAGTTCAAAGTGTTTATGATGACGAAAGGCAGAATAGCCGTATAATCGTTCACAAACCCATCGCTTTGTACTGTGGATCCTTACAGCGCGTTCACCTGGGATTTATATGGACAGTGTTTATAGTGGCGAAGCATTGACTGGTCAGTTTACAATCTGTTTTGCTTTCTTTTTTCTCTGTCCAAAAAGCAACCCCAGATGATGCGAGGCGGTGCGGACTGCGCGAATCCCGCCTGAATAAATGTCTATATTAATGAATTATAAACCCATGAAGCTGTGACCTTAAAACTATAATCAGGAGACGCCCGGCTGAGGAAAGCTGTTGAATTCCTTATCGGACTCCTGTCAAAATGAACCGTCTATTTGTCTTGCCCGATCAAGAGAATTAATTAAGAAGAAATGCAAACTTTTAATTGGGTGTCAAATGGAATCAGATTTCCTAATAACCAGCAATCCAGATCGAAACCTGCCTGCGCCTTCCACCTTGTGGGACATGTCAAAAATTGTGACTTGCTCTGGATATTTTACCCGAGAAAATGATGAATTTCGGCAGTTAATTTATCGATCGCTGCTCGCATTGCCGCATGTTTTATTTTAGAAGTCATTAATCAATGAAGAAAAACAGGAGCGCGTTCCCTGCATTTAATACACAGCGCCTTATTTATTTCGCTCCAACCACATTGGCCTGGAATATGCACATCGATTGCTCGCTCCAGATTTTATGCATCTGTACACACACATATAAAAACCTAGTCGCTACAGAGGAAATCCGAAACTTGATGGTTTCTCTTATTTGACTTGTCACTCCAAGCTGTGTCACGTCGTGCAGCAAAGCAGCGGGAAAAAAATCCTGGTTTCTTTCCGTATTTTGCGCGACTGTTTCGAAGGGAAAGCAACGAAAGCATAACGCGGGCATCAGTTGCACAGTGAGTTATCAGGTGGGTTAAACACACTGCATATGAGCAGAATGCATCAATCAAATACATGTCAGCATGTTGCTAAATGCGAGGAGTGTTAAATACGATGCATTGCACCAATTAGACTTTGCTTAAATACATTTACATTTGTGTGTGTGTATGTTGGGGGGTGGGGGGGGGTGGGGGGTTGTGAATCGACAGAATACATTAGTAAAGTAGCTCGGCAGCAGTTAGACACTTTGACAGACAAACGGACATGCAAGTCTTTGCAATTTCTCCCAAAGGACTTCTCTTAATCAGACAGCTAGTGAGCTCTTTTATTGCTCTTTGGCTCCCAAGTTCAAAAAGTCCCTTGTGAGAACAGCTTTTCCTTAAAATAAAAAAAAAGATATTGTTCACTCGTATTGTTCTTTCATTTTCTTCCATTGAAATCGGATTTGTAAAACTGAATTGCAAATTATCAATGTGACAAAACTAAATGTTATGAGCGGCAGACTGATCCATGACTGATCCATAACTCAGTGACTGTAATTTTTCGGAGAATAAGACGAAACGATGCTGAGGGTGAAGTTGACGGTCTTTGACTGCCTTTGTAGGAATTATCCCAATTGTGGAAGAAGTGCATGTACAGGTTTGCAACGATGTATGTGTGAACCGAGTAAAATTAAATGCGTTTTACCATTTCATGTATTGCACGTTTAAATGTTTGTTTTGTGCCAGTAAAAGCCACCACTTGCAAAAAAAAACCCCTGATACCTCTAATAATCAATGGATAATGAGTAATCATAATATTTTGTTTTGGATTCCATCACTTCCACTTATTTTAATAATTTATCCCCTCAAATGAGCATGTAATATTGAGAAGGTCATGTATGGGAGAATCTTTAGCAAGTCCCAATGTGTTGCTTCTTTGCTACAAGTATTATTATTAATAATAATAATGATTATTGTTATCACTATGTATGTGCAACCTTGTTCTTAATGGACAGAATATTATTGTATAATCTAAAATATAAACGGAATCGCCGGAACTCCAGAAGAGTCGTCCACAGTGATCTGGTAATATATCACCAGCTATTTGACTCTTAACTACACACGAATCCCAATTGCACAGCTCAGTACTGTACTGTCTGCACTGGTGGCGTCTATCACTGAGCAATAACCCATTCTGCAACCTCAGTTCTTGCTTTAATAATCTCGAATTCCGAGTTCAAAGTAGTTTGGAAATGACGGCGATCCCAATGAATTCTTTTTTAAGCGATGCAAGTTTTTCACATGTCCATTTTATTTCTCACCAGAATTCCTTTCCGCGTGACTGTGTTTGCCTTTTCGCGGTGTGTTATCAATCTATAGGACCAGATGACAGACGACCTGGTCAAAATGACGCCAGTCAAAACATTTCCACTGAAGTTTATAGAATAGGCACGACTTTAGATAGAGACACAATCTAAACATACACGCTATTTTCTCAGAAACTGCTTCGACTGGGGTGGGGGTGGGGGTGGGGTGATGGAGGGCAAAGAGGTCCAGACGCTGCTCTGAACCCCCCCCCCCCCCTCCCCCAGTAGCCAAACAGTCCCCAATAGCGGAGTTACCTCCACGAATGACATTTCAGAAAGTGCTGAGCGCCCAATTGTGCGGAACAGAGAGCAAACAGTCGCGGTTAAAGAGCAGCAGCGAGACGCGGGGAATGATAATTAACAAATGCAAAGAAAACCACCAGAGCCACAGGACTTCAATGCAATGAGAGGACACGGGACGAGAGTGATGCAGGGCAGAGAAACTCAACCGATCAAGCGATAGGACGCGGGGGGGGGGGGGGGGGGGGGGGGCGGATGGGGGGTATTGGGAACTGGAAAGCAGAAACCAGACTTTTACTTAAAGAAATCAACTCTGATATATCCTGCTCATTGCCACCTAACTACCCTATAACGGTTGCAGACTGGTTCTCATCTATCAAGGGCTTTTTTTTCCACACACCCTTTCCAGATAACTGTGGAAGTCCCATGAATTGCTGAGAAAAAATAAGTAGAACACTAATAATAATAGGACCCAATAACATGTATACATTCTACATCCATGATGATGCTAACCGGCTAACATGCCCCACAATAACGCATACAATAGTTATTATAACCCACAGTTTGTTTAAGTAACTACCCGGGGCCATTGAAGCAGAAATAAACAAGTCGCTGCCACGCAATTTATTATTTGCAAATGTGGGCGCTCCAATTACTCACGGATTGCTGAGCTGATAGATTTTTTAAGTGTTATCTGTACAGAAACGTGCGTGTGGATCTAATGCACCCTTTAGGCATGAATGGAGATGGTCCAGGGAGGGAGGGGGGGAGAGGGGGAGAGGGTGTGGTTGGTGTGTGGTTCTGGTGGACGTTGCATCCTCTCCAATCTGCGCTGTGGGCAAAACCACGTGTCTCCCCTTCCACTCAGCCTGGGAGCGTCACGGGAACCTCCCAGATGAGCAGGAGCCTGTGGCTGGGATCTGCTACTCACCGCCTCCCCACGCCAGAGCCATGCTTGCGGGATAAAAGGAGTAAACAGTTTGGAAGAAAGCAACCGAACCAAACAATTTCCCCCCACGCACAAAAAACCCAAGACCGATTGGAACATCTGCAAAGGTCAGTGGTGTCTAAAACATCGGTCTTCTTTTTTTTAAAAAAAAACCCCCAAAGTGCTGTACCTGCTCGGAGAGACCAGTTAAACAGCTGGAATAGGAGCCTGCAACTTTATTGCCGGTTACTTACTTTATATATTTATGGCGAAGAGCGTGGAAAGAGCACAGGATCGGTTCTGCACTCTTTGACACCCGCGTACGGTGAGATCCTAAAGGACTGCTGCAAAAGTGAAACCAAATATAAAACTCTCCAGTGTTTATTCATTAATTGCATGTAGAACCAGCAGGTTGGTTGGTTGCTGTAACACCCCCTCCCCACCCTCCCCCACCCCCGGTTGCGGTATTTATAAAGTGCTTTTCAGATTGCAATGAAATGTCACTTGAAACGTGCGCCAAGTGAACTGTCCCCAAAACTACTGTGACAGTCCAACGCGGAATCTGTACACGTTTGAGCGCAGCGTGACATTGCGCTGATGGGCGATCTCCTTGTCAACCATACGATCCCATCGCAGATATTTTTATTCCATATAGTACTCAGTCGCGACCCGCAGTTTTTTTTACTGATGCCCAAAGCGCGAAATGTGTTACATCCTTCACAGAGTCCATTGCATCGCCGCAAATGATGTGACTGTAATGCACTGTATGTATTTTTTTGAATTAAAGTTGGAAGTCTTTGGAGATGATGAAAGCCAGCGAGTCCAGTGGATCAGCTTTCCTGAAGGTCGATCCCGCCTACATCCAGCATTGGAAGCAGCTTTTCCCTCAGACCCAACTGAAAGTCAGCTCCCTGACAGCCATCCCAATCCCAATCCCAAACCCAAACCCACTGCAGCCGCTCGACAGAGCCGATCCGCCGCCTGACAGCGTGCGCCAGCACCCGGGAGCGCACGCCTCATCTACATCCACCGCTCCCTCCTCCTCCTCCTCCTCCTCCTCCGTGTGCCCCCTGTCCCTCTCCGGCCTGGCCCCGGTTTCCGTGCCGCAGATCTCGGGGTTGGGGCAGCTGCAAGGCTCCGATCCGCCCTCGGCGTTCAACGGAAGCCAAAGCAAAGGGCTGGGCTCCTCTGGCACCGAGAGAGCCCTGAGATTCTCCTTCACGGCAGAGGATCTGGACTATTACCTGTACGGGCAGCAGAGGATGGAGATCATCCCCCTCAACAACCACACGAGCGACCACAACAACCGTGAGTACAGCGCACAGCAAAAGCGCACTCACAGCGGTGCAAACCGAGAGAGAGAGAGAGAGAGAGAGAGAGAGAGAATCCTCTTGGCACAAAAAATCACAGCCACACCAACATTGCATTTGCACGCACTTGGGTTGTCATTGCTCCATCTTCATCTCTCTCCCAAGTGTAAATATTTATAAAGGATAGTTATAACCATTTGAGATCACGGGACACTTAGCGTAGGCGAATTACACCACGAGGAAAGGCTGTTATAGCCTCCTTTCTGGTGGGAACTACACGATCTACAGTTATAATACTAAAAGCAACACACACTTTTGTGTTTCACAACTCCGGGTGCTCAGCAGGCAGGTTCAGGGGATGTTTGCACAGATCACCAGCACAGCCGGCGCTGCCCCCACTCCCAAGTGCCTTTAAAGTTTTTCTTGGGTTCTCTTTTTTTTTTAAAAAAATACCATCTTTCGAAAACCTCGCGTCGAGTTTGCATTGAACCTCTGGACGTCAAAGGTGTGTGAAATGGGCAGTGAATAACCAGCCCACAGCTGAGCCAGGAAGAGTGTCCGGCACTGCGCCGTGTGCTCTGTGCTCTGCTCCCCCTCTCTCTTCACGGTTTGGTTGTGTTTGGTTGATGAAACCCTCTGTTCAGACACATTACATGAGGTTAGGAGCCACCGTCAGCTCTTCGCTGTCAGCGATTCCCGTTCAAATTGCCCTTTTTGTTTTGCCTGCGCTCAAGACTCACAAAAATACACGGGGAGAACACATCAGTTCCTCACCTCTCCACGGGTTGTGAGCCTTAATTTGCCAAGTTGAGAGGCGCCGCTGGTGGATCAGACCAGACAGACTCCTCGCCCAAATTACGCACAAATACAGCGAGTTATTCCCATTCAACCATTTCAGAGCAGTCAATTCAGTGTATGAGAACACTGTATAACGGTGCAGACGGGAAAACGTGCAGACAGCAATCTGTCCCTGTAGGTAGGAAACCTTCAAGAATGATACGATGTCTTCAAGCAACTTAAAACTAAATAATAAATAGGGAGAAGTTATTGTTGCAACTAAGGTACATCCACTAATTCATGACTAATTATTTTATTAATTACAATGAGTCGAAATGCAAACTTATTCTAGGTTTTCAAATGCATTGAACATCAAGAATAAGTCAAGAGGAACGATAAGGTTAATTTATCCCCGAGGAGTAATAAACCACAGTCGTGCACTTTGAATTGCAAAATAAAATAAAACACCCCCATTGATCGCCGCTGTAACTTTTCCAGTCAAAAATAGTTAAGCGTTTAAACTGTTTGACAGGACGGAATGCAGAAGTATGATTTTCAACATCGACAGACTGAGGCAAAACATTTATTTGTTTTCACGAATCCATAGGCACTTTTTTTCGCTTGATCGATAAATTTTTTTTGCCCAACAACCGAGCTGAGATAACTCGTTTCATATATAGAACAGCTTGGATGAATGACCAGGTCTGTCTGGATGCTGAGGTAAACAGAAAGCAGTGAAAGATTTCACTGTAAGACTGGCACAGACTCTATAGCTACAGAAGGAACCGATAAACGTCACATACCTCCCCTGATCCTGGTATTAATTCACAATCCCCAAATAAAGTTTCCCCGAAAGATCAAATGCGTCAAATTAGCACAGATCCCTATAACCCAGAGAGCCATTTCAAGACTGACTACCGCCTCTAAGCACGGTTTTATTATCCATATTTCCTTTTGGTTGAAAGGTGGTGAATGTTTATTTAACGTGATAAAATGGTCCATCAGCACTAATCTCCATCGATAACTGACACACTAAGATGAGCGATGAGCGGACAAGACACAATTAATTGCCACTAGTTTTCTGGAGAAAGCTGGCCGAATCGACTGTATCAGGGCACCGATCGATCGCCTCGGAGATGCTATTCATCATCTCGGTATTGTTTGGGTCTCTCAGGGACCAGCCGCAGTTTTATCTAAAAATCCTATCTGTCTTCGCCCCAAACTCCGTCAGTGCTGGAGAAATGCAATCAGCGACCCAACAGCACCGCGCCAGCCAGACCCAGCCTTCATCTCTCCCACAGGGAGACACACCACACAGCCCTGGCGGGGAGAGGGGGAGAGGGGGAGAGGGGGGGGGGGAGGGGGAGGGGGGAGGGAGGGGGAGAGGGGGAGAGGGAGGGGGAGAGGGAAGGAGAGAGGGGGAGAGGGAGGGAGAGAGGGGGAGAGGGAGGGGGAGAGGGAGGGAGAGAGGGGGAGAGGGAGGGAGAGAGGGAGAGGGAGGAGGGGGGGGGGGGAGGGAGGGAGGAGAGAGGGAGAGAGGAGAGAGGGGAGAGAGAGAGGGGAGAGGGAGAGGGGGAGAGGGAGAGAGGGAAGGGGAGAGGGGGAGAGGGAGGGGGAGAGGGGGAAAGGGAAGGAGAGAGGGAGGGGGAGAGAGAGAGGGGCAGAGAGGGAGAGGGAGAGAGGGAGGGAGAGGGGGAGAGGGAGAGAATACGCCCATCGCCAACTGCTCTGTTATAATTCCTGGCAATATGTCACACACATGTATGTTTCTTTAACAGTTCTTCACCGCATTATTTGACGCAGCTCATTTTGTTAGATTCGCCCACGAAATACACAGGCAATCAATCCCCTGTACAATATATTCCGCGAAGCGCTTCGAGACGTCTCGACCACGCGATCAGGCGCTATGTCAATTGCAAGGATTATTATTTATTATTTATTGTGATTCACTTCGTTAATGCAACGCGTTCAAACAAAACCTTTACTGGGAGATTTATTGTTGCATTGTTTTGCAAACGTTGTCTCTGGCGCAATGCAACAGCAACACTTAACCCACAGACATAATTTCCAAATAATTATACCACTTTATAATACTTCAGGCGAAGAGATCTGTAAATATCTCTGTGCTTTTTTTAAAAAAAATCTGTCGTTTTGATGCAATTTTCTATTGAAGCTAAAACACAATTATTACAGAATTGAACGTTTGTTGAAATACTGTTTGAGGGAAGGAATACTGATCGATATTACAGTATTTTACATAAATCTTATCAGTATAATTTTTCCCAAGAGTATTTTTTTTTCCCCCTCTGAAGGCTGAGTTCAGAACTTAAAAGAGAATGCAACATGTTTTACTTTATAATGCAGTGTTGCTCGTTGAAAGTATTTTCACTTCGCTGACCCGGTTAGTTAAACTGGAGGCAGACGATGTCGATCAATGAGTAACTTGCAAAGAAACCAGCGAGAGAGGAAAAAACGTTGACAGCTCAAGAGAGTGTTATTTTATAAGTTGAAAATTAGCAACAGAGGCGATGGACACCGTTTCCAGGAATCGCCTTCGCGTTTAGATCAAACTGGGAGGTGGGGGGGACGATAAAAGCGGCATTTTCCGATACAGAGCGACAGGTTTATCGATACCAGGAAAAAAAAATTACACACTCTCGATCGATTTAGACAATGCAACTTTTACTTTTTTTTTCTAAAACAAAATTCTGAATAGCGGACAAATAGTGGAGTGGACAGTTTAAAGTTTAACAGGAGTTCACACACACACACACACGAATGCATTTGCGAAATTGATTTGATTCCTACACACATCGGTTTAGCTGTGTGGTACGTGGCTGATCGCGATGCAGACTATTTTAAACCACTTTCGCCTTTGGGCATCTTTGGCACAACTAAATAATAGAGAATATTGCCAATCGTAGTTTGCTTTTTTCTTGCCTTAACACCATCGAATTATTCCTGTGTGTAAATGCTCGGGCTTATTTTTTTATGGTGTTAAACTTCACTGCAAGATTGCATTAACAGGGGCAAAGCACAGTGTAGCCAATGTAAGTAACCCTGAACATCCAATTCCAGATTTATTTGCGTGTTTCAGTCGGAGAAATAAATGTAAGTACTGATTTTAATGCATCCACACACACACACACACACACACAGTACTGTATTTAAATAGAGGATAAATGTTAAGTGTTAAACGACATACCTTTCCTCCCGAAACATCTGAATTCACTCAGTCATTTCCAAACAAACTAAAACTGTTTCTTAAAAAAAATCAGTAACTTCGGAGACGATGCATTTAACGCCCTCGGAACAAAACCGTAACTGGAATATATAATATATATATATATATATATATATGAATTATATACAATATATATATATACAAGTCCAACTTATGGTTTGCAAAAGGGAACTTGCTCAAAATAATTGTAAAGCGCGATGGCCCAGATTTGAGATAACCAGGAAGCCACAGTTAGAGAAAGGGGCTTCAGGGATTAACGGGGAGTGAGTGATGTGGACGCTATAAACTTTGATGGAGTTGGGAAGGGAGAGAGGACGTAGCTCTGCTAAGCTGTGTAATGGTAACAAGACTCGCCTTCATCACTTGTTTACATTACGTCTTGGACATGATGGACATGATCATTCCAGTGACTTTCTCTCCATCGGGACTTGCAACAGACGCACCAGCAAAGCCACCCAGAGCCAAAGTGCTTTGATACGTGCGTTACATCAAGTGAAAGGATCATTATTCTATTATTATAAATATCCCAAAACAGGTCGCTTTTTGCAGAGGGCGTTAGCAAACTGACTCTCAGCCAAGCATCTCACTGGCTGCTTCATATCATGTTGTGTGTCTGGGAAAGTGGCAAAAATACCACAATCCCATTGCAGAATGCCCAGTGATTAGTATCTAAAACAGTTCCGAAATGTCAAACTGAAATAAAACGTTGAGCAGAATGAGAACAGCTGGTCTTACTGATTCAGTTTCAAGCCTCGTAAACGTAGAGCAAAATAACAGCGAGACCTTTGCAGGATGAGGATTCCCGGGTCACTCAGGACTTTTCTGTTTGTCCTAATCTTAGAGCTGATTCTTCCAGCGAGTGTCCGCCCTACTATTGTGTTGCAAGTCTACCAGTGCTTAAAGGATATTTGAAACGAGATTTCTTTTTTTAAAAAAACACAAGATAGCTGCGGCTGGTGCTGTTTGTCCGCAGTTGCGTGCACTGTGTATGTACCTATTTCAAAACCAAAGGGGGAATTGCAAAAGAAAATCAGGGCGGATGAACGGCATCTCTACCTGCAAAGCGGGTTTTTTTTTTTTTCTTTTTGCCAGGAATCGGTCGCTTTCATTCGGGAAAAGCAAGTGCGAGGTGTGAACCCCGCAGTCTGGTTAGAAATGCAATATTGTGCAAGTTTTGAAAGAAGGATGGCATTCAAGATGCAAATGACTCAGAGCCGCAGTAAGGTGACTGCTGCAGAGATCCACTGAAAACCCCAGCAGCTCTCTCTCTCTCTCTCCCTCCCTCTCTCTGCCTTGCACACATGCACATCCCATAAACACTTCACGGTGCATTTACATCCCACAGCTAACAGCAAACATGTCCATATTGCACCCACGCACGGGAAGGCGCAGAGAGGTAAATAATAATAATAATAATAATAATCCTTGCATTTGATACAGCGCTTTTCACGTCGGGAGGACGTCCCGAAGCGCTTCACGGAACACACTGTAAAGCGAATTGACTGTATATTCGTGGGCGAACCGTAGCAGAGTAAGAGCAACGTGAGCAAGCAGGCAGCGGGGTGCACGGTGCAGATCAGAAACCCGGTGCCGAAGGGCAAAAATAAAAAGTGTTTCAAACTTAATTGTAAAACGTTTATTAACAAGTGGGCGATGCTTCACACCGTGACATTGCGCAGTGCCACCCGCCAGGCTCCACAGGTGCATCTCTCGACTGTAATGCACGGCTTCCCTTAATAATAATAATAATAATAATAATAATCCTTGCATTTGATATAGCGCTTTTCACGTCGGGAGGACGTCCCAAAGCGCTTCACAGAACACACTGTAAAGTGAATTGACTGTATATTTGTGGGCGAACGCGGCAGCCAATTGCGCACAGCAATGTCCCACAAACAGTCGTAGATTGAAAATGACAATTTATTATTGTTTTTGGTTTTGGAGGGATTATTATTAGGCTCTGTGTGGAGTAAGGAAACTTGCCCAAGGTTTCGCCCTCTGCCTGGAATTGAACTCAGGTCTCTCACTTGCAAAGCGAGTGCTCTAACCACTGAGCTACAGGACTCCACTCCACACCTTCAGTCGGTGTGGTTCAGTTTAAACTGTACACTGAGTGAAAGAGAATTGTGTTTGGCCGGAATGGTGCTTTCTCCTTCCCTGAATGTTATTCTTCCCACCTACACTGGGGGAATATTTCAAAGAAGCATAACATAAAGCGTTGGTTTCAATAAATGCGAAACAAAACACACATTGGTCTTCACTTCACTTTTGCTAAACGATTACTTTCTCCCAATGGCAAGTTTGGTGTTTGCTGCAAATAAAGCGTACGCAAGTCTGAACCTGGTTGCAAAGTCTAAGGAATTGAGTAAGGGATACTATGCTTTGGCGTTTGGTGTTTTCTTGATGCCTTCTACTCTCCTTTCCCTCATCATCCATTACCATCTCCAGGTTTTACTCAGTACTGACCACTTCTGCTCTCAAGTCACCCATTGCTGTCTGTCCATCACCCTTGGTCTTAGCTTCCATCTACCTGTTCTGTTAGTTCGGGTAGATGTTAAGCAATAATAATAATCCTTGCATTTGATTTAGTGGCTTATCATGTTGTTGAGACGTCTCAAAGCGCTTCACAGAATATATTGCAAAGTTAATTGTCTGTATTTTATAGGCGAAACGTGGCATCCAATTGCGCACAGCAGTGACCAAATTTAAAACAAATTTTTGCTTTGCCAACTTTTGTTAAAGTTGTCATGGCATTATTTTTTTTTTTAAAAAGTTTTCCTGGGGATGTGGCCAAAATTCACCAAAATCCACCCCGTTTAAATATTGTCATTACTGTTTGTGAACTTGATTGGCCCAAATTACTGTCAACAGCACCTTCCTGACAACAGCCATGGCATTTGAAAAAAATGTGAAGCACTTTGAGAAATGCAAGCTTTTATTTTTGTAATAATTATTATATCGTCCAACGCGGCTTCCTCTAAATCAATTCTCTCCTGTTTCCTTATTTCTGATACTGACTCACCCCTCTCATGCCACCTGTTCTAACCTCTCCAATGTTCCTCAGTCCAACCTGTCCTATCCCATGTTGTTCAGCCTGACCTGTCCCATCCCTTATTGCCGCTCTATTTTGCTGCCCTGTTTAAATTGTGCCTCTCTTCTCAGGCTGTGACATGTGTGCTGACAATCGGAATGGCGAGTGCCCGATGCACGGGCCGCTCCACTCACTGCGCCGTCTGGTGGGCACGAGCAGCAGCACGGTCGTAGCTCCCCCTGAGGTGCCATGTGGGCTGCGGGAGCTGCCACGGGAGGTGTGTCTGTGTACGAGTACCGTGCCAGGCCTGGGCTACGGTATCTGCGCTGCTCAGCGCATCCCACAGGGCACCTGGCTCGGACCCTACCAGGGAGTTGCCATCAGCAGGGAAAAGGTGCAGATGGGAGCTCTCCGGAACAGCCGCCACCTCTGGGAGGTAAGAAACAATTGACCTGCAAATATAGATACTGTTCTTCAAAGCTCATCAACTAGACTATGCGAAACGCACTCTACAGAGGATATGCCCTGTAAGGCATAGCGTGGGATAAAATTATTCTGTACATCAAAGTGGCATTTGGACACAATGTTTCTCCCTGTTTTTGTTTGTTCCTCATCACATCTTAGGCTCAATGTTGTGGCATTTCCTAATATGATTCTTTATACTATATTTAGAAATCTGAAAGGGAACTGATTCTGATAACTCAATACCTCACAAGCACCTTGCTGACTTGAGGGGACCTCACTCCTAAAATAGATAGGTATTAGAATTATAGAATCATAGCATCCTACAGCACAGAAGGAGGCCATTCGGCCCAACGTGCCTGCTCTTTGAAAGAGCTATCCAATTAGTCCCCACTCTTCCCCCACTAAGTGCCTTAATAATAAATAATAATAATCCTTGCATTTGATATAGCGCTTTTCACATCGGGAGGACGTCCCAAAGCACTTCACAGAACACACTGTAAAGTGAATTGACTGTATATTTGTGGGCGAACGCGGCAGCCAATTGCACACAGCAATGTCCCACAAACAGTCGTAGATTGAAAATGACCAATTTATTATTGTTTTTTGGGTATTGGAGGGATTATTATTAGGCGTGTGGAGTAAGGAAACTTGCCCAAGGTTTCACCCTGCCTGGAATTGAACTCAGGTCTCTCACTTGCAAAGCGAGTGCTCTAACCACTGAGCTACAAGCCTTCTGTCTTGTACCTTCTCTCCAAAGCCCTTCTCCTCGTAAACTCCCTCTCTGCTTTCAAAATCCTTCTAAAATCCTCTCTCTTGGACGTGCCTTCAATTACCACCCTCCCATCCCTCTATGTCCTGTCTTGCTCGGGTTCACTGCTCCTCTGTAAAGTATTTTGAGACATTAACTTACATGTAAAGTGCAATATAAATTAAGTTGTTGGTATTAAATTGAGTTGGAGTGGCATTCTCTAGTTTGTATCACGTACGTTTAGGTTTCTTAGTAAGAAATCCCATTAAGAAATACTGCAAAATGTATTCGCTCATTCTAATTCCTGGAACTTTTTATTTGAAAAGCCTGTTATTAAAGAAGTTACAGAAATGTTCAAAGAATGAGCATTTTTCTCAGTATATTATACCACAATTTTGTTTCAGCTACAACACAATTTCAAACCTTCTCACATTGATCCTTGGGTATGATATATGGTATATTATGTGTATCTAAAATATTACATTTTTGGGGAGGGAGTGAGCTTGGCGTGCGTGCAGTCATGGTGACTAGTTTGCATGGTGACTGTGGGACTCTGCGTGTGCTTCGCAGCTGTCTTGTCTGCTGAGTCTGAGACAGTACTACTACAGAATGGATTGTACGTGCTTACATCTGTCGGGTGCTGCCCAGACAGTGCTGGGTGGGTGTCAGTGTGCCAGTCCAGTCCAGTGCTGGCAGTAGGGCAGGAACAGAAACCAGATTTAACGAATTTTTCCCAATTCAACCTCAATGAGGATATTGTTCTCTCAGATTGGGTAATTTTCACTAATGCTGGGATTCATTTGTGGGAGTTTCATTTGCCGCCACATCAAGCTGCGGCTCGGAAGAAATCCAGGACTTTTCTTGGATTGGGTCCAGGGTTATCTCTATGCAAATGGTTGGAACTGAGGTCACTGTGGATTGCAAGTACATGTTGAGAGGATGGACCTTCTACTAATTTAGGGCAGAGGCCAGATTTTTGTCTGGCGGGTCACCCTGTTCTTGTTCTCGGCACAGACGATGCACATTAGAAGTTCTACATTGGCTGTGAGGAAATGTGATAGCTGTCTCTTGGTCTGGGTGTGGGAGCCTCTACAGTTTCTAGGGAATGGTCAGCCTTATGTTGTTGGGAGGTATGTAGCTTTTATGCTGAACTCTCCTGGGAAGCTCGGGTTGTCCTAACATTTTACACCCACAAAGAGTCACACTCTCCAGCATCACTGGAACTAAATCACAATAGAATATAGTGAACAGTTGACCTCCATTTTGATCTCTTTGCCAGATTAACTTTTAATGCACGATGTATACAGAATACATTATGTAAACCAATTGCATAGGATTTCTATCTTGATCATGGCACTGACCATAATTCACTTGAACTATGTCACACATGATTTATCAGGTCAGCCCACTTGTGGGATACAAATCATATCACATGGATCTCCACAATATATGATCTGTGTTTCCTTTTGAAGCTGACTGTATAACTCATCAATGATGAACTCTGGTCACCTAAGGAGTGATTTATCATTTGTTATGGCCAGCCACGGCATTTTCTACTGTTAATAGTGTATTTCATATTGAAAAAAAGATTATGTAAATTTTTGCGATTTTATAAAAGAGACTTAATGAAATAATACTTTTTTTTTGCTGTTGTTTTAATGCTCTACCATCAGTCTGTAGCTAATAGGTAGGATTTTTATTTCCACTGCAATTTATTTATTATTATTATTACATGATAATGAAATGTGTGCAATATAAAGTTGTTGTTGTTAAATTGAGTTTAATAGCATTCCCAAGTTTGTATCATGTACTTTCAGGTACATCCTACAGAATTGGTATTGTATCATGCAATGAGGTGGGGTGACAGTGGTGGGGGGGGAGGTAGTGGTGGATGGGGGTGATGGGTCTCAGCTGTTTCTACTCCAGTAACTTGGGTAACTTTCTACACAGAAATATTGCTATCGTCACATGATAATGATGATATTTAATGTTGGAATCTGGGACATGAGCCTTTAACAACAGCAGCATAGGTTCAGTTTAACTGTTCTGCGTACTGTCTAACTCTTCTGACTCCACAAAGAAACTGCTTACAGTTTTTATGAGCTGCCTGTTTGTGTTGTAAATTAATTTTATGGACCATGGACCCGCTATTTCACATCCCTAGCCTGGAAGAACATTTTGTTTTAATGTTTAAGACTGCAAAATTCTTCAATTTGGAAGCTTGTCCCTTTTGAAAAACTGCATAAAACCAGCTTCCAAATTAAAACTGAATGGGAAAAAATTTCCGCAATTCTCTACAATCCAGAAATTGAAGTTGAATAGTTTTAATACTTAGATTAGATGGAAAATGAGGACTATCTGAATCATGTTTATCTTAATCGGGTTAAACTAATCTGCCATTGAATGATTTCTTGGTGAGGAAAGAAACCCTCTCTTGTGACTTTTCGATACGCACATATTAGTAATCATGTTAAATATAGTATATTTAATGTAATTGTACAAACAATTCTGCGTCCCCTTAGAGGTAAAAAATAGTTTGAACATGAAGAGTTCAATTTCTGAGCATGAGGTTCTGAACTGACATAGTCAGGTTCTGAACTGACATAATCGGCTGCTGATGAAATTACAAGATCAAGAATGATTTAAAGTAATTCAAAGGAGAAAGATTTTGAAATGAGGGTGGTGAAAATTCAATCTGTAGCAGGTATAGTGTTTTTTTTTGCAAATTTAGCTGTTCATGATGGTTCTTCTGACTGTAAAGATACTCAGTCCAAAGCACGGGTGTTAGTAATCTTCTTTTTACAGCACATCAATCCACTAACTTTAACCGCACCAATTTGTCCTTCTCCCAATGCGCTTTTTATACTTCCTGCCTTTATCTCATTGGCTCTTCTTAAAGGGATATCCTATACTGACCTAGCTTCAGCTCAGGTCATTCTGTACTTAAATCTCTCCAAAATGAAATTAAATGTGGAATATTAGAGGGATAGCAATAATAAACATAACAACCACAACTTGCATTTATATAGTGCCCCTCACACAGAATCTTGCCCCAGAGCGCTTAAATAATAATATAAAGCCTTGAGATGTCATCCTGAATTCCCTATTTAAATGTAAATTGTATTGTAATTTTTTTTGTGTAATTTCAACATTTTTCTTTATGGTATACAAATGCAAACGCCCTGCTTGTCGACCTTCCCAACTCCTCCCTCCACAGGCTGCAGATAATCCAGAACTCTGCAGCCCATGTCCTCTCCCGCACCAAACTCCATGACCCCTATTTCCCCCACTCTCGCCCAACTCCATTGGCTCCCTATCCTTCAGAGGATTCAAAATCCTGGTGCTCACCTACAAAGCCCTCCATGGTCTCGCCAAACCCTACCTCTGTGACCTCCTAACCCCCTACCAACCCGCCCGCTCCCTCTGCTCAGGCAGCTCTGGTCTGCTCCATGTCCCCCGACCCACCTGCCCCACTATTGGCGGGAGAGCCTTCAGCCACTCTGCCCCCAAACTCTGGTACTCCATCCCCCAATCACTCTGCCTCGCCCCCTCCTTATCCTCCTTCAAGTTCCGCCTCAAAACCCTCCTCTTCGACCATGCCATCGGTCACCCCCCTTCCCCTTCCCTCCCTTCTGACCCCAGCTCGGGTCTAAAATGCTGTACACTTTCCAGCGTCTTGGGACGTCCTCCCGACATGAAAGGCGCTATACAAATGTAATCTTGTTGTTGTTGTATAGGCTGGAATAGTAGAGCTAACAAGCAGCACAGTGTTTAATAATCATTGCATTTGATATAGCAGCTTTTTGTCAGGTGGACATCTCAAAGTGCTTCACAGTGCAAACTGCAGAGTATATTGACTATGTATTTTGCAGACAAATAGAAATGCAGACGTTTAGTGCAGGGAAAATGTCAATGAAATCAAACTTTATTCTGACACTTGTCAGATGCGAAAAGGACTATTGGGACATTTGATTGAGTAAAAGCTTATCAGTTCAAATAAGCTTAGTTTTTGTAGCCTTCTCAACTTTCGGCAAAAACTACCATATCAGGATATGAACTCATAATGTGTAGACTGACACTCCAGCACAGCGCAGAGTGAGCTCTGCTGCAGTGTCAGAGGGCAGAACTTTGCAGCCCGTGTCTCTCCCACACCAGGCTCCGCTACCCTATCACCCCTATCCTTGCCCAACTCCACTGGCTTCCCATCACACAGAGCATACAGT